TGTTTTCATATGCCGAATTTATTCAATTATAGCTATCCCATTCCTTTATTTTTTTGGTTTCCAGTAGCCTTACACATTTGGATGTCCCTACACATGGTAAAACTGACCTTGATGGGAAAACAAATTGATTGTGCCGATAAACAAGCTTGAAAATCTTTGCTGTTACTTCATGGACGTTTTCTAGGAGTTTATGTTTTTCAAAATACAAGGTCTTTAACAAAAAATAACGTATACTTATTGTCGTCGGATTAACACCAAATTTTCACAGCTTTAAGGTGACAATGAGAGGAACTTGAATGTGTCCAGACAAACTATTTCATCGATTATTTACCAACGAGTTGTGGTTTGAGTTGGGGGCAATGCGACTAAAACAGTAATTGAAATTCAGGACACTATTTTTGAAAACGTGTTGCTTGAATAAAACTGACCAGACACATTCAATTTACCAGACTATTGAACAACTAGGAAAAGTGAAAAAAATACTTCTTATCGCCAGCATAAATGCGTAATTATTTTTTTTACAGAAAAAGTAATTTTTCACCTTTGATTGAGTAACGCGTCGTAGAATGCATATACGGGCATGCAAAATACACTTGTGAAAAGCTTGAAGTCTGGCGATTCTAAAAATATATACTTTCCCGGGTCTATTTGTAGTCATTTAGTCACAATTAGAAGATGAAAACAAGTATGCAAATAATAGTCCCGCTACCTTAAAGAAACTACATAGCGAATAGCGAGAGGTTGCGTATCCCATAATTAGGATTCGAAATTAGAGTGAAAATTTGTTCCATTAGATGTTAATATACAGTTTAATATCAGTTCAAAGAAAATAAATTGTGCCTGACTAATTCTCCCAAGTGGAAGTATTATGTAGCCCGGTGATTTGCCGAACTGATTTTGCGACGTCCTGCTCAACTTAAATATGAATGATCCATCGAGGCAATTGAGACTTTTTCCAAATGTGCGTGGATTGTCTATGTGCCTACTCAAATCACGCGAGGGATAGTCGACACGACTAAAATATGCTTGGTTCAGTAACACGCTACTAAAATGTACAACTCAGCTGTGTAGAAAATTACTTTTCAGATGCGGTAACTACTGAGATTTTCATATTGGGTGTCATCAAATACTGATGTGAGGGCCTACTACCTTACTTTTCACGTAGTTTATGTATTTTACCGATTGAATTGGCTTTATTTCAGGCTTAGTTATTTGTTCATTGGACACATTTTGCACACAACTGTCTAAAATAATATAAGTGTAGTGTTACCAGACATAAATATTAAAAATGTTGCTGCAATTATTATGACAGGGTCTCACAGTTTTGATTATTGAATTAGTGGTAATGTAGAAGGTGAATAAGTAAATTAGAAATCGAATATGAAAATTCATTGTGAAATGACATTGGTCTGTCTAGGATCGATTAAGTACGTTTTTCCGTATCGTGCCGCTTACGACGAAAGTGAAATAAACTTTATTCTTTACAATTTCATTTGAGAGAAATATAAGATTTATCATTTTTATTATTAGGGTAAATGAATTTCCTTCCATTAACCAATGCTTTAAAGCAAGGGTATGAATATTATTATGGCATTTTCTATTTATGATTAGATTACTGACTCAACTGCGTATGTTAATGTGGCCAACATCACAACACAAAATCTCTATTATTATGCAGCACAACTGCACACTTTGAAGGCATAAATCTTATTTCACGACAAAACCATATTTGACGGCAAAACTCTATAATTTCACAGCTAAACTACACAAACTCTATTGCACCGCAAAACTCACGGAATCTTCCACAATTTGACGGCAAAGATGTACAATTTGACGCAGAACTTCATCACCTGATGCTAAAAATAAATTATTTCCCGGCAAAACTCTACAATTTCGCAGCAAACTATATTATTTCATAGCAAGTCCCACAATGTGACGGAAAGACTCTGAAGCTGTAGTAATTTTTGATATGTTGGGGATCAAAGGTTTCCAAGTCATGAGACGAACAAATTAATCAGAAGAAAATAAGAAACTGGCATACATAATGCCAAGGATTTCGGGTGAGGTTGTGGATTGAGGATTGAAAACTGACAGTTTCTGTATTGGCAACATAAACTACTACTATTCTATATAAGGTACATTATATATGGTAGGCGCCATGTGTACAAGAAATCTCCCTGACCACTATACTCAATAGTTCACTTCAATCTTCGCGGTTGGTGTATTGTATGTGGCTGAAGATGTGTAAATTCGGCATTGTCCTTGCACATATATTTGCACACTAACTAGGCCACACTTTGCCATGACATCGTATTTTTGTCGTGGAATTATAGAGCTTTGATGTGAAATCGTGGAGTTTTGTCATGAAATGACACCAGTAGCATGTCCACGGAGGCTCTTCAACTTCAAACTCATGCATGTTTTCTTATTTATTTCGCCCAACAGCCGCACAATCCCCAACTACTCTGCAAATAACAGATTTCACAGCAACATCAATAACCGTTATTTGGGATCCGATTGTTGCTGACAACTACGAAATAGTCTTCTATGAATCCAAATCTGGAGAAATGCATGTCATAGATAATATCGACCAGGGGGCGACAACTTATTTCATATCAAATCTGAACCCTGGCACAATGTATCAATCAATGACTATACATGCAATGTATGCTGGTGTACCTGGTCCTCAGAGTAATGTAGTCGATCAATTAACACGTAAGTACATACTAATTAAATATTTCTTTCCTTAAAGTTGTCACCGTTAGGTGACGTCACAAAAATTACGTAACAAAATATTCTATTTCGATTGGCCGTTGTAAATATCACGTGACAAATAAACAAATGGCAACCTGCCATTGGTCAGTCACCGATTGGCTGTTGCAATATTACGTGATTAAGATTAAAATGGCAGCCAGCCATTGGTCAAGATACCCTTAAAAGGAGGAATCGGAAAACCAATCGAAGAGATCCCCGATTCCCACGCACGAAGGACGTCCCCCTGTCTTTATGACGGAACTGTTCTGTTTTGTCGTTTTACAATTATGAACTAATTAACAAACTAACTCTACTTATTGGTCTGATCTTTGTCTTCGAGTGAGTTAGTTTACTTCTCACATTTGGCAAGCGAGAAATTTCCCCAACTTATGATCCGAACCAGGTCAATATATTACTTTCCTTTCCCAAAATACCTGAAACTATTCCCCGAAACTATACGACTGATGACAAAGTGATATTCGTGTTACCTTCACATCAAACAATTCCTGTGTCGACAGTTCTCAGATTGTATCTACTTGGTTATTCAAATATTAACTTCAATTATATTTTGTTCTACAGTTGCACCAGCACCATACGTTCAAGTAGAAGACGTTGGAGAAACAACAATAACTATTAGTTGGAATGCGCTTCCTGTAGCCGAAAAATTTTTCATCAATTATGAAGAATACAACACTGGAATTTCCCATTCCTTAACTGTGCCAGGGACAGCCAGTACTTATGAATTGATAGGGTTGAAACCCTCCACACTGTACGTAGTATTTCCGTACAAGCAAATATCCTGATGTGTCAGTGATTTAGC